AGGAGTTGTGGGACGTGAAGTACTTGAATATTCCGGTGTTCCACACCGAAGATGGTACGTTTTCTGTTCATTCTTTTTATCTCGTTCGAGTACTGATTGTTTTTTCTAGGCTACGATCCCCGCGAGCTTTCCACGTCTCTCACCCGTTCCATCTGCGACCAGATTTTCACTTCCCCAAAGCCCTCCCCTCCTTTGTCCAGCGCATCCTCGGGGCGATCGACGACCACTCCGGGGTGAAAAGGCAGAAGCGGAGCCAGGCGTATATGTATGCGGCGTTGGCGTTTTTGTGTACTGTTGCGAAGGTAAGCTGGTCGTTGTTTGGTTGGTTGTTTTTATCCGGGGGTATACCTAGAATTTATCCCGTTCGATCACTCTCCATTCTGATCTTCCACATCGACATAAACTTACATCGCACCTCCTATCCCCTTGACGAACCTCTCTCCACCTTCTTTCTTGGTGCTCCATCATCCCTCATCCCCACTCGATCCTTGCCCCTTCTTTCTTCCCACCTACCTCTCGTTTCTCGTCTCTCATCTGACTCACTTATCTCATGTCTGACTTACTAGGCCTAAGCAGACCTTCAACACTCTGGTACGGCCGTCGCGCCTGCACCCACATCCGCAAAGAACGCATGGCTTCCATCTACGACAAAGCGCTCAAGCGGAAAGATTTCAGCGGGATCGTGGATCCGGATGCGTTGGCGAGTAAGGCGTTGGCGGCGGATGATGCGAGGGTTCTCCGTTCCACGACTACCTCCCCCACCACGACTTCCCTGGTGCTACTGGAACGCAACGAGGCTCGGAGGAGACGGATGCTACGCTTACGCTTCCTATTAGTACCGCCGACACTAACGCCGGTACGAACGAGGAGGAAGCAGCGGATAGGGAGAGTATAACGGGAAGAGGGAACGAGCATCGGTTTGAGTTGAGGGATTTGAATGTTGTGTCTTCGGAGGGGGAGTTGACGGCGGTTACGGGGCCGACAGCGAGTGGTAAGACTGCGTTATTGGTGCGTAATTCTTCTTCTTTGGTTTTTCACTGGGGGAGGGTGAATGTGCGACGGTGCTGACCAGCGGGTTGCTGTAGATGGCGCTGTTGGGCGAGATGACGATGTTGCCGACGAATCCGCCCGGGAAGTTGATCATGCATAAGGTACGTCTTTCTCTTCATTTTCCCTGCTTTCCTCTCACCCGTGCTACCGTGTCCCCCAGGACCCCCACACCGTCGATCCCGTCACCCATCTCACCCACACGATCTCCTACGCCGCCCAATCACCCTGGCTTCGGCATCAATCGATCAAAGAAAATATCCTGTTTGGGTATCCGTATGATGAGAAGAGGTACGAAGAGGTCGTGGAGAGCTGTGCGTTGGGTCCTGATTCGAAAATATTGGAGGATGGGGATGAGACGGAGATTGGCGCGAGGTGG